AGGATAAAGAGTCCAACTCTTGCCTCGGCTTTGTCCCTATCTTTATACTTATTTTTGGCGTCTCTATTCACAAAATTCTTCCAACAATTCCATCCATTAAAATTTGAAATAATGGAGAGCTCAACAAGAGACATATCAGTCCTGTTCGATCTTTTGCCCCTAATGGACAGGATAAAAATTTCTCACATCAACAATGAAAAGTTTTTATCTTGTTCACTAAGAACAAGAGATCAATTCTACATATACATATAGTTGGTACTTTTATTTATTATCGGGTCTACACTCATTTTTTTGTTGGTGTTAGATTCTCTATTTGGAGTATTTGAAGATATCTGTTGGCTAAGGTGGTAAGAAATGAAGGGTGACCCCTTCTCTGGCAGGCGGGCATTAAAGAATGGGACTGCCATGAAATTATTGCAATACACAACAGCAGTAGTTCCCTTTTTTCAGTGCAGTTCTGCAAAACCATATAAATGTTAATGAAGAATTTATTAATGGCATGTTTTTCAGTGCCGCAGTTTTAATTGCCGATGCCGGAGTCGTCCCTCTAAAAAAAAAACTCGATTCAAAATTATAAAATGTGAAGAAGAATAAATTTGTTTATATATTCCATTGGATGAATACATCCTAGATGTTTATAAATATGGTAAATAATATGCTTAGGAATTATGGCAAAATATCTCTTGAATCTTAGTATCCCCTCAAACTCGAGACAAAGTAGTAGAGACAATCTTGAGTTAGGAAATAAGATCTCGAATAGCGATGGCAAAAAAAAGCCCGCTCCCGTCCCGTGAAGAGAAAAAAAATTAAAAATAATTTTATTTCTAAACAATTCATCTGTTAAAAACTCATGTTGAATTTGTATTTTATTCTCAGCATAATTTGAAATTTTGAAATTATATAATAATAATAATAATAATAATAATAATAATAATAATAATAATAATAAACGGGGCAAGCCCCCACCACATTCTGAACCTACCCCGCTGCCATCCCTAATCTCAAACACATTCGAGCGAAAGAACTTTAGTGAAGATATAAGTAGGGTGGTTGATTGATGAAATGGAAGCAAGTTGCAATGTACTTACGAATGTGTTGACTCACATAGTGATGATCTATCTCATATGTTTCTTACGTTCTTGAAAGATGTCATTATGAGCAATTCAATGGCATTCCAATTAAGAAATAGGAGAATCGCCCAAAGGGGAAAAAAATATAATAAAAATTCCGCAATAGAGCATCTCTTTGTAGGATCATTCGACCAATTAGAGTCACAGTATGAAATTACAAAGATGAGTGAGATGAAATGACCCCTTTAATCCAGTTCATATAATGTCTTTTTCGAGAGCTAGAGAAAATGCATTGTAATTGTTAGAAAAGAGCGATCTTCACATATTGGAGAATGTGAAGAACCATGGCATATTGAGTAGACAGATGTACTACCATAAACTGAAAAACCATATGTACTACGTACACAATGTCAGGCATATGACAGTGAGATATACCAATCTAGCAAAAAGCTGATTATAAAAAGGTAGGATTGGAAAGATGAGTCCCATTAGTCTGTGTTTAGCATTCATCTAAAGAGGTAGAAAGGTATTCTTCGCTGGTTAAACCTGCTCGAAAAATAAGCTCTAAAGCATGTTTGGCTTAAGACACACAATACCTATAAGACTGAGTAGCGACTTCAAATCTCAAAGATAGCTAATTATCCAGAATCTTTTATTTCAAACTGGCGATTAAGATGTTGTATAAGGTCATGAATTCCATTAAGATCGTCACAATCGCAAAGTCTCGAGAATTTATAATGTTAGAGGATGTATCTTCAAATAAGTAATATAATAATGAATAAAGTATTATACCACGAAGATTGATTATTGATCCCATTTTAATTTAAACTAACTTTAACTTAAAAATAGATTGATTTAAGATGATGCTAATGAGTTTTGTTGTTACCAATTACCAACTAGTATAAGCGATTGAAAGCGTATGAAATCCAATCAAGCAAAGTACCAGAACCACAAATTCACCGTGTAATCCAATTTCAATCTGCAATTACTCATCAATTGCCAATTCTTGCAAGGTTGAACATCGATGTTTAATTTTAATCAATATCATTTTTCAATGTCAATCAATCTTATACATGAATTTAATTATTTCCAACTAAATTATGGACATAAGCATGCATTAATTCACAAAGATTATCATTCATGATTTCAAAGAGCATAATAGTATATCTCTATCTATTATATAATTATATGTTGTTTATTATCATGTACTACTTTATAACTAACATCTATTCATATTTAAAACTGTCGATAGTCATTCTACGCGGCATACACTTGATAATTTGTTATTTGATGCGTTAATATGATAATGCATCACATAATAAATTGTCATATGCTTGTCACGTAGGACAAGTATCGATAGTTTTCACTATGAATAGTATTATTCTCTCGAAAGCAATATAAATCATAAGCATATATTAATGTTGATCAAGTATTGAGACAAAATTATTGTAAACAATGAACCAAAATAATAATAATTAAAAATAACATACCTATATGAACCTCATGAGCAACGGCCTATGTTCTCAATGGTATAATAACAGGTGCGTTGCTGCACTCTGAACAGAGGAAACACAATCACTATCAGAATAAATTCAAAGTCTTAGATTCAATAAAAAAATGATTTCCCTTAGAATGACTACTGGAATTGGTCTTCAAAAACTTTCACAGGAAGTTCAAATGGCGAGAAGATCGATTAAAAGACAAAGCCAACAAAAATCCAACACAAAGTTCAAGAAAATTAAAAGGGAACATTCCTAAGGGAAATTTAAAGAGGCATCTGAAGTCGAAGTTGTGACTCTTTGACGATGTGCTGTTTTCATGAAATTTGTGCAAACATGGTCGAGAGAATGAGAATTAAAGGAAAGGAAATTCAATCAGTGCATTTGATTGAGAGTAATTATTGACACATAAGTGAAGTTGTAACAAGGTAGTCGTACTGAAATGTGCGATTGGATCGCCTCTTTTTTAGAGATAGCTTTATCCGAAAGAGGAGTTTGAAACTCTTCATTTAACGAGATTAGATGATTCTTTACCCATATAAAATGTATATGCTGACAAATGGTACATGAAAATATTTATCCATTGTTTTCAATTCTTACAATCATGCTCTTTGTTACTAAAGTTATCGGTTTATTGAGTTTTAAAAAAAAAAAAAAAAATCAGATCATAACTCAACTTTCAGTGAATTTTTAGAATTGATAACCCCACAAATATCACTATCTAAGAGTGATAAATCTTGATCCTTATTAATGTGATTCTCATTGTACCCATTTGGTATTGTATTACTAATTCTTAAAGGAGCTACATCTTTTATAGTTCTAGCCTACTAGGTATCCCAACAAAATGAGTAGCTAGTGACCAAGAATGTACTTGAAGAGGTGGGAGTGTATCTTTGTAATTGAAAATGTTAAATTAAACTAGTACAGTCTTGATACTTTTCACTGCTGACGTGGCAATAAAACCTTATTTATGATTCTCTGAAATAGATCATAAATTCAGAGAACTATAACTAAGGTTTTCTTACCACATCAATGATAAAAGTTTTTATCCTATGAAAGTAGGAGAACAATTCTATAGACAAATATTATACTATAATTGTCACCCTCTGTATGGAAGTGACAAAAATTAGAGCAGAAAGCGTACGTATACATATGCAGTTGGCTTTATTTATGCATGAAAATTTAGTGAAAGCCGTGAATCTTTGTGAACGGGTTTTGTTTTTTTGTGGTGATAGATCGTTTTTCTTGGGCCAAACTGTTCCTTCAAGGTATTAAACTAAAAGCATCTGTGGTTAGGTCAAGAACAACATCTGTCCCAGGCCTACCCTACACTTTCTGGGCTTATCCCATTCACTGCATTAAAAGGTGTAAAAAAAAATCGAGCGATTCAAATTGCAACCCCATTTTTTCTTTTCTTTCCTCCTCATTCTTCTTCTTTTTTATTTTTTTTATTTTGAATAAGCATAATGCTACATATTCATAATGGTATGAAGGGGGCCCACGTATAGCATGGACCTCTTGAATGTGAGGGGATGTAAATTCGTGTGTACACTTAGTATACACGTAACATTATTCTTTGAATAATTTGTTAATGGAAACGGACAATGAAAATCAATCATATTCATTGTGGATTGGTTAAACATCAATATCAATTTAGTTTTCTATGTACTTGGAAATCCTTAATTATTTTTTTAAAAAAGAACTGACAAGAAATTTCATCAATAACGAGCCTCTCTGATGTTCGAATCAATGTCCTCATTAAGATTTTTTTTTAATCTAATTCAAATTAAGTACGATTTAAGCTCCTCATGGGGTGACCGAGGTGGAGTGGAGTAGGTGAGCGTGAATGTCTTTGGTCACGAGTTCCATTCCTCTTACCAACACTTTCTCAGTCAAACCTGTTGCATACAGCTTGCTTAGTGTGGTTTACCTTATTGGTGTGATTTACAGTCTTTTGCGTTAGCCAAAGGGTTTACCTAGTGTGCACCCGAAGGATAGCGACTGCGGATTCCCCCGTCATCAAAAAATAAAAATAAAATTAAGTACGATTTGTAAAAACATAGTAAAATGATTAAAAAAAAATGCTCATGTTGGCAAAATGATTCTAAAGAGCCAAGACCCACAAGTCCACCTTCTCATATTGACCATGCCTAAATCCTATTATTTAAAAAGTGCCAAGCCCTTTTAAACTTATAAAAGTATGACTCCCATCTACACCCCTAACTCGACTATCCAATATGTTAAAGAGGTTTAACCTTTGTCTGGCGTAACTTAAAATCTTGTTAAAAGTTTAATTTAAGTTAATAATTAATTTTAATCATTCAATTATTATTATTATTATTATTATTATTATTATTATTATTATTATCTATACCAAACAGGGCTTACTAAAGTGTGACTACATATAAATTCCCTAGGAAGGTGAGGACTAAGAAAGCTGATCACACGGCCAAAAGAAAGAGCAAGCCTTTTTCATTATTTTTCATCCACCATCGTTGTATCTGTATATTCTGTTGTCCCCTCAACTGTCCAACCCCACTCTCTCAATTAAATTATCAAGTCCAAGTGATCTGCAAAATCTCTAGAATGTCAAGCAACAATCTTTGTTCAGAAGAGGGAAGCAGCAGTAAACAAAAGCGTCGACCAGCAGGAACTCCAGGTACATTTCTTTGCTTGCTTTCGTTTCTTGTTTCGTATTGATTCATTAAAACATACATTGTATATTAGATCCAGAAGCAGAAGTTGTATATCTATCGCCCAAAACCTTGTTAGAATCGGATCGATACGTTTGTGAGTTCTGCAGTCAAGGGTTTCAAAGGAATCAAAACTTGCAGATGCACAGAAGAAGTCACAAAGTGCCATGGAAATTGCTCAAAAGAGACACACCAATGGTGAAGAAGCGTGTTTTCGTGTGCCCAGAACCCAGTTGCCTGCACCATGATCCATGCCACGCTTTAGGTGATCTCGTGGGAATCAAGAAACACTTTAGAAGAAAACACTGTAATCATAAACAGTGGATTTGTCATAAATGTTCAAAAGGGTATGCCGTTCAGTCAGATTTTAAGGCTCATCTCAAAACCTGTGGAACTAGAGGCCATTCTTGTGATTGTGGCCGAGTCTTCTCCAGGTGCCTAACTTCTCTTACTTCCTTAATCTCTTAATCTCTCATAGTTTTCAATATAACGATGAAAAGTTTTGTCTTGACAAGTCTATACACGAACTCTTATTCAACAAAACAAATATCATGGGTTGATTTTGAAGATTTTCTTGTGTTCAGTGCAGAATGTTTAGTTCCATTGGTAATTGCGGAGATTAACAAATGTTCTCTTGCATATATACTAAATTTAGTTAATCGAGAAAAAATGGTCAGGAAATATGCAAGTGATAATAAACTAGGTTTTGTTTTGACAGATGTGAGAACCATACTTTACTTGGTAAACAATAGATCACGTTTCCCAATGATCAGCCAATGGGTCGTTGAGATCTACTTTCTAATTTGCTGTCCATTCAATTACAAATTGACAAATCATGAAAATTTAAAATTGATATTAAGTTTAAAAAATTAAGATTCATGACAGCTTTAATTTTCAATGATATGTTAATTTGTTGGATGGACAACAAATTAGACAATAAAAATGGACAGTAAATCTCAACTTGATGGACCATTGTTTTAAATTCTTTAAGAATACCATTTCACACACTATGTAGTGCATTGAGTGATCTTTTTTCTTTTCCTTAATTATTGAGTAGATTTGTTTGATTATATATGTATAGTTTACATAGAATAAATGTGTACTAGGATAACATGTAACGACCCTATCTTTCCTTGTTGCGGCTAGTTCAGTCGAATGAGTTTTTAGAGGCGAAACTAAATCGCCTGACATCTATTCAACGTCACTTCTAAGGATTATCGAGAAATTTCAATATCGTCCCCAATTTGACTTTCCATTCATATAATAAGCTAATGAAGTTTTTATGTATAAAGCCGACCTGCCTAGGTAACTCTCTCCTCCTTGAAAGCTTGGACCAACTGCAAAATGCATAGGAGGAATTATTAGGGATGGTTAGTTAATATAATTCTTACGATAATATTAGTTTGGTTCTTATTTTATAGTCAACATACTAATAATGACATTTCTTTTTTTTCTTGTTTATAGTACCCATCTTCATCAACAAAATCACTGGGGTTACTTATGAATTAATGCCCTTCAATTTTTTTCTTTTAGGGTGGAGAGTTTCATTGAACACCAAGATGCTTGCAGTATTGGGCGACTTTTACCAGAATCCCGCACCTTGCAGCCTACGGCCTGCTTGTCCCAGAGGCCATCCACTGACGTCAATTTTTTAAGCAATGTGGGCTATAAGAATTCTTGGCCGGGCTTAAGTCTAGACCTCCAGCTATCAGCAAAATCAAGTGTTTCGAATTGGACAAAAGTGGCAGGTCAAGACCATTCAACACAGTTGCAACTCTCCATTGGCTCATCAGAAATCAACGAGCAAAATGAAATGGACAGTAGAGAAGATGAACAGTTAAGAATGGCCATGACCGAAAATGCTTATGCTCAAGAGGCGAGGCAACTGGCGAAGAGACAGATTGAAATGGCGGAGAAGGAATTTGCTAATGCTAAGCGAATAATGCATCTAGCACGTGCAGAATTAGAGAAAGCCCAGGCCCTAAAGCAGCATGCAACAATGCAAATAAATGACATCGTCTTGGAAATCACTTGCCATTCTTGCAGGCATAAGTTGCAAAACGAAAGGGGAGTGATAGAAACTTGTTTTACTCAATGTTGAATTTTCTCTATTATTGTCAAATGAATTTTCTCTATTATTGTCAAATGAATGTAATGATAGAATGCCATATGACATTCTATAAGTTTTGATGTATATATAGCGTTGTCCATAAGCTTTTATATTATCCATTAACCTAGTTCGATAGTGCAACCCTCCTCATGTAACCTATTCAAGGCCGGCTACAAGAAGCATTGGCCGAATTATTAATCATCTAAATATCTGGTAAATAATACTATAACTAAATAGTACTTGAAACATGAATTTAGCTCCTCCTTAATAATGTCAACTTTGTAGGAATGATTTTAGCCTTTATTTGGTTATAATAATTATTACTATTAGTAACTTATAATTTTTGGTCAAAGTCAATCGTTAATTTCAATTACACATGCATAATTATTAACCATTTATTATCTGCAGATTACGTGGTCCATTCCTCCTATAAATTACTAATTATTTTATTCAAATATAAACGTATCATCTGTCCAGCCTCAACATATGTTGGTGTTAGATTATCTATTTGGACAATATGTAATCTTTTGGCTGAGGACTGAGGTGATCAGAAACTGTGGTACCCCTTCTCAGGCAGGAATTAAAGAGTTGAACTGCCACAAAATTATTGCAAAACATATTAGACACACAAGCACACACGTATAGGAAAAAGAGAGGGAGAATCATGATTATGAGTGATGCTTCAGATCCCGGGTACCGTTCCAGGGTCGAGGTGGCGGCACCTCGGCCCTGGATCTTCACACATGCGGGGCCCGCCCCTTTTACATCGGGGGCCGACGTGGCTGGACTGAATCCCGGGATTTTATCCTGGGATCTCCAGCTTTTTTCTCATGATTATATATAAAAGTAGTAGTCCCTTTTACAAGTGCAGTTCTGCAGAGCTATATAAATGGTCACGAAGAAGATATTTAACATGTTTTTCCGTGCCACAGTTTTAATGGTTGATGCCGGAGTCGTCCTTCTCAAACAAACTCAATTCATTATTTTCCATCTAAAGCATTTGCAGCCATATTTCTGTTTGTGCATGATAAGGTTTTAGAAACCTAGCAAAGGATAAAAATAATATTCTGACTTTTCTCAGCTTAATGGTAGCATGAGGTTGTACGTATATTTATATCAAAACAATAGAGAAAGAGATAAAAATGTACAATGAGCTGTCTGATATGCTGCGGTCTCAAGTCTTTTCTTCTTTATAGGATTTGATATCATTCACAGAGAGATTTAATGTGTTTGTTGGCAATACTTCATCAATACTCTTAATGTCCCCCCACAAGCTGACTAAGTATGAAGGAGAAATAGCGAGCTTGGATAGTAGGAAATTATAATGTGAGCGCGACAAGCTCTTTGGGAACACATCAGCAATTTGCAGATTTGGGGGAACAAATTGAACCTTGATTACACCAGCAGCCACTTGTTCACGAATATAATGATAAACGGAATAATACTATTTACAGTTATTTATTATTGCAGTCGTCCTATATAACATAAACGTGACGGTTAGTAATTTGATATATGAGGCAAGAAAAAATTACCATATTAGTACATCAAATCACAAGGCAACAGGTAGGATACCGCGTAAGACGACTATTGCAGTGAGCGACTATGAATAGCATTACTCTAATCAACGGCAATATGTTTGGAACGAGGCTCAGAAACTTAATTTGTTGACATAAAAAATTTTATTCTTGTTGTCACATAAGATGGCGACTGGACTAAAAAATTGAAATCTTAAGATCATCAAGCAGGTTGCGTAACCAAGCCACTTCAGCTGTTGTAGTGGCAAATGAGCGATATTCTGATTCTACACTTGAGCGAGAAATGGTTGTTTCTTTGTACTCGAAGAGATCAAATTAAGACCAAAGAAAACTACAAAGTCAGGGGTAGAACGAGTGTTCGGACAGCCTTCCCAGTCGACGTCGAAGTAGCCTATTAAAGAAAGAGAGCTATTGGCATAAATATTCAAGCCGTAGGTGAGAGTACCTTTCACATAACGCAAAATGCGTTTAGCAGCACAATAATGATCTTTTGTGGGTGCATGTATAAATTGGCAAACCATGTTTACACTGTGAGAAAGATCTGCTCGCGTAATCACCAAATATTGGAGAGTCCCAACTAGTGAGCGATAAGCTGTGGGGTTAGACATACTAGAAAGACATTGACCAACCATCAGAGGAGTAGAAACCGGTTCATATTGAATATCCATGCCTGTGTGATGTAGAAGGATCTGAGTCCAGTGACATTGATCTATCAGATAGCTCGTTGATGGTGTTGAGATATCATGAGGTGGTGGATTGGTGCAAAGATGAAAAATAAATGCAATTTTTCCTTAATTGGGGCAATTTTGCCACATTTTTGGTAATTTGACCATAATTTTGGCTACAGTTATCAGAATCACTATTATGACCCCAATCCGAAAAGCTCTCTTCAGTGCGCACGTCGTGGTAACCTAGTTATGCTTGGTGGGCATCAATTTTGAGCCCAAAATCCACTATTTTCCTTTCTAAAATTCAATTTTTAGTAGGTCATGCGTACTAATTTACGAAGTCCCTCATTAGACAAGTCCGCTTCCTAAGCCTTTTGTAGCGCGTGTCCCAAGGTACTCTTGGAGCAAGGAATAGCCCTGCCCACCTTATGAAAGATGAACAGTCAGTCTTTGCTCTCTCTGGATCAGGTCCCATTCTTGAGTGAGCTGGAGCGCAGCCATCTTATCCATTGAACTAGCTAGAAGCTATCGCTTCGAGTTTGCTGATTAGAAAGCTGTAAAGCTTATCATACCAAGCATGTGATGCCTGCTTATTTTAGTTATTTTTTATTATTTATGGTAATATTTCGTTTCCTTTTTTCTAGATGTTAGAGAATCCGGATTGAGCCAAATTTTTGGAAACTTACTTCTTTTATCTCATATTTTATTTTGGTGTAATCGTTGGGATTTTGCCATTTTTGGTAATTTTTTGATAATTTCATATTTTTGCAACTATTTAACCCAGTTTATGGGTTGATTTTTGCCATTTAGCGTTGATAGTAAAATTAAGTTAATTTTAGAGAATTTCTCTATGCTCAAAGGCATTTTCTTTCGTATTCTCTTTTGAATCATCTGTTATAGTTAGCTTGAAGGATAATAGCTATTCTGCCCGACGTTAGTTGGTATCATAGCATCAGCATCTTCATGGGGTGAATTTCCATCAGCTTCAATAGTTGGTGGACGTGGTCGTCGAGGAAAAGTTTCGATTGGGGATTTACAGAGACAAGTTAGGAGTTAACCCAACATCTGGCAGAACAGGAATTCAGTAATCATGATGTGGAGGGTCACGATTTCGATACCAGTTTCAAAAACCCGTATCATAATCGTGCTCGAATTTGGGAGCATCGTGGACGGAAGGATCGTCATGTGGACCTCGGCTTTAGAGTGGATCTACTCGAGTTCTTTGGTACATTACAAGCTAAAGATTTTATTGATTGACTGAATGAAGTGGAGATAATTTTTTAGTACAAGAAGGTTCCAGATCGTGTCAAGGTAAAATTGGTCACCATCAAACTTAAGAGAAGAGTGGTGGGAACAATTGAGGCATTCGCGAGAGCAGCAAGGCAAGTCTAAGATCACTGATTGGGAGAGAAAATGATGAAAGGGCACTTTCTTCCTTTTGGCTACACTCAGTCTTCATTTCAGCGGCTCCATTCACTAAGGCATGGTACGAGATCTGTTGATGATTATACGGAGGAGTTCTATCAATTGGTAGCTCGAAACAATTTATCTGAAATGGAAGAACAGATAGTTGCACGGTATGTGGGAGTATTAAGGTAGCCCTAGCAGGATGTTCTAAGCTTCCATTCATTGTGGACAGTGTCTGAAGCATACCAACGTGCACTTGCTATGGAAAGGCAGCAAAATAGAAAGCTAGTGGTTAGAAGTGAAAGTAGTAAGCCATTTCGACCTCAAGCATCTTCTACTACCTATCAGCCCCTGTGGGACAATCCTAACTCAGGCATTAAGTGCTTTAAATGTGGTAAATAGGGACATAAGGCGATTGATTGCAAAAAGCCAGCTGGTCAGAAGAATAAAAATCTTCGGATTGAAGATGATATGATAGAGGATATCGAAGAGGTTGGCGAGCTTGTATATGATAAAAGTGAAGATGAGGATGTGCTATATGGAGATGGCCAGAAGATTCTAGTCGTTTGCAAGAGTTTGCTGACTCCCAAGGGCGATGCAAGGGACGATTGGTTGAGGACCAATGTTTTCCACACAACTCGTATAGTTGCCGATAAATCTGCAAGTTAATCATTGATAGTGGCAGTTGTGAGAATGTAGTGTCTAAAGAAGCTATTCGGAAACTGCAGCTGAAGACAGATCATCATCCTAGGCCATACAAATTTTCATGGTTGAATAAAGGCAGTGAGGTAACAATAGAGAAACGACGTCTTGTGTCTTTTTCGATTAAAAAAAATATTTTGATAATGCTTGGTGTGATGTTGTATCTATGGATGTGTGTAATGTATTGTTCAGATGACCTTGGCAGCATGATCACAACGTTATTCATGATCGAAGGAAAAATAATTATTCCTTTAACATCAAAGGGAAGAAAATTGTTTTGGCAACTCGTAAGGAAGAAACCACCCCTATCCTAGTAATTAATAATAACAACCTGCTTTCTATGTCCAGATTCTTAGTAGAGGTTGAGAATGAAGAAGTGATATATGCTTTAGCTACTACCCCGTGAGAACAGTGAAGTGAAGGAGGATTCGAATTTACCAACAGAAGTGCAATAGTTGCTAATGGAGTTTTCTGACTTGATGTAATAGGATTTCCCTCTGGGGTTACCACTTATGAGGGATATTCAACATTAGACCGACCTTATTTCAAGGTCGAGTCTACCAAACCAACCAGTATATCGTCTCAGTTCGAAGGAAGCTGAAGAATTGTAGTGACAAGTCGTAAAATTATTGGAGAGGGGATACATTCGTGAGAGTATGAGTCCATGTGCATTTCCTGCTCTACTAGTACCAAAGATGGATTGGCCGTACCGGATGTGTGTTGACAGTAGAGCAATTAACAAGATTACAATGAAATACAGGTTTCCAATTCCTCGTCTGGATGACATGTTAGATTAGTTGTCCGGTTCTAAGGTCTTATCCAAAATTGACCTTAAAAGCAGATACCATCAAATCAGAATTAGACCTAGAGATGAGTGGAAGACGGTGTTTAAGACGCAGCATGGATTGTACGAGTGGATGGTCACACCCTTTGGACTATCCAATGTGCCCATCACTTTTATGAGGTTTATGCATCAATTTTACAACCTTTCATGGTAAAGGTTGTGGTAGTCTACTTTGACGACATACTTATTTATAATCCACCGTGGGAGTCACATTTAGATCATCTTTGTGCTATTTTTGATGTAATGAGGATGGAGCGCTTATTCATCAATAAAAATAAGTACTTTTTCTTCACAACTTCTGTAACTTTTTTGGGTTTTGTTGTGTCTACTGATGGTGTTCATGTAGATCAATCCAAAATTGAGGCAGTCTTGAATTGACCGAAGCCAAAAAGTTTGCACGATGTCTAAAGTTTTCCATGGATTGGCATCCTTCTACCGTTGGTTCATCAAAAATTTTAGCACTCTAATTGCTCCTATCACAGAGTGCCTTAAAGGGCATGATTTTTAGTGGACTGAGGAGGCAGATGCTAGCTTTCAATTGGTTAAGCAGAAGATGACAGAGGCCCTAGCCTTAGCACTTCCAGATTTTGAGAAAATGTTCGAGGTAAACTGTGATGTGTCTAGACATAGCATTGGTAGTGTTCTGAGTCAGGAAGGGCTTCCAGTAGCATTTTTCAGTGAGAAGCTGTCAGGATTGAAAAAAAAGTTATTTGACCTATGATCTGGAGTTCTATGCCATAGTTTAGACTTTGAAGCATTGGCGTCATTACCTAGTACAGAGGGAGTTCATCCTTGTAAATGATCATGAGGCCTTGAAGTACATCAATGGTCAGTACAAGCTGAGTAGGTGACATACAAAGTTGGTGGCGTACTTGCAGTAGTTTACATTTACACAAATACATCAAGCAGGGAGTTTGATCGAGTAGTAGACGCATTGAGCCGTCGTACATTACTCCTCACCACCATGAGCACCAGAGTTGTTGGCTTTGAAGCATCTCCTGATATGTATGCTGCAGATCCTTCCTTTGGGAAGATAATTCAGAAGGTAACTGATAATCACCAACATGATTTTGTTTTGCATAATGGTTATCTGTTTCATGGATTACAGTTGTGCATTCTAGACTGTTCACTAAGGTAGCAAATAATTAGTGAACTTCATAACGAGGGACATTTTTGGCGAGATAAGACATTGGCTCTAGTCTCTTCTGATTACTATTGGCCCAAATTGAGCAGTGACGTGGCGTATTATTTGGAACTGTATTATATATGTCAGAAGTCCAAAAAAGCTCTTATTAATGCTGGACTGTACACGTTATTACCTTTACCTGAGGCTCTTTGGTTTGATGTGAGCATGAATTTTATATTGGGCTCACCCCATACACAACGGGCGATGGATTCCATTATTGTTGTGGTTGATAGGTTTTCAAAGATGGCTCATTTTGTGGCTTGCTGAAAGATGATGGATGCTACTCGGATTGCTCATCTTTACTTCAGGGAAATTGTGTGTTTACATGGTGTTCTCCAATCAATCACTTCTGACTGTAACACCAAGTTCATGAGTCATTTTCTGGAGGAGCTTGTGGGAAAAACTGGGGACGAAGTTGAATTTTAGTAGCGCCTACCACCTTTAAAGAGATGGTCAAATAGAGGTGGTAAATCAAAGTTTGGGAAATCTTTTGAGAAGTTTGGTAGGGACTAAACCGAAACGGTGGGATTTGGCATTACTTCAAGCAAAATTTTCCAATAACCGATCGAAGAATAGAACCACAGGATTGAGCCCATTTGAGGTTGTCTGTGGTCGTAAACCATCCGGAGTGCTTGACTTAGCTCATATCCCACGTGTGGGGCATTTCAATCACAAGTCTGATGAGGTGCCTAAACATCTTCGTGGTATCCATGAACAGGTAATGTTGTCCATTTAGGAGAGTAATTTCAAGTACAAGGCTCAGGCAGATAGTTATTATCGTCAGGTGCTCTTTAATGTTGGTGATTTTGTTTGGGTAGTATTAACAGTGATCATTTTCTAGTTGGGGAGTATAATAAGCTT